CAAGGGAGGGAGGTTCCCGTTCTCCGCGGGGACCGACGGGGCACTTACTCCTTCCAAGGCTGTTGATTGCCCAGAAGGGCAAGTAGCCCTTCCCAACCTTCCTCATTTGAATATACGAAAATACTAGTTGATTTTGGCAAGGCGACGCTCGCTCAGCGCCAGAAGGACGGTTTTGTCGCCCGCGGGCGAGGCCGGGTGAGGAGCAGCTCCGGCTCCGACATCCGGCTGTGGGCCAGCCAAGTCCGCGCCCGGGGCCGCTCAGAAAACCGGCGGCGGCTCGGGGAGCACGAAGAGAAGGGACAAATCCATTGGCTGTTTCTGTTGGTCTCAGTAAAACAAGAGAAAGCCCTGGAGACGCATATGTATTGGTTACTCCATCCCCACACACCGTCCTGTGGTGCAGCCGGGGACAGTAGAGGACTCCGCACAGAACCGACCGCCAAGCCCTGTCAGATGGTCCCAGGACCCCTGCCTATGGGGGGTCGGACGTCTTATGAGTTGTGAATTGATTCCTTAATTAAAGATTTAATGATGGAAGGAAGGTATGAGGAAAGAAAGGAAAAGAGAGAAGCAGCGAAGGAACAGGAGCGGGAAGGCTGGCCCAGCCCCATACTCCTCCTCTCTGTGGCCCCTGCGCCTCGGACCGGTCGGGGCAGCAGCGGGTCCCGCAGGCCCGGGCCGCGGCGCCTCCCGTGGTTGTGGGCGGGAAGCGGAAGGCGGGCGCTGGGGCCCGCCCTCTCGCGGCGCCCAGGCCCCTTCCTCAGCCCGGCACACACCTCTGATCGCAAAGGCCGGGCACAAGCGAGTGCGACAGTGGCCGCCAGCGTCCCAGGCCTTCCTCACTCCTGAGCTGAGCCGGGTCCCGGCGGGGGTTGGCTTTGAACCACGTTAAAGACGTCCTATTCTCCCCCACAGGAGGAGGACTTAATCTTCTTGTCTGGGTGGGGGGTGGGGCCCGCGGGGGAGCTCGGACCACCCCGCACGGAGTGTGGCCGGGCCCACGGCGGCCGTGATGCGATCACAGCCCCATGGGGGCAGGAGAGTCGGCGGGGAAGGGGGCAGACCAGGGAGAGCAGGAGAGGGAAGCCCTCGAGAGACCCCGGGGGGCACCGCACACCACCGCCGCCCCGGGGCCGTGTTTTCTGCCCACCCTGTCGTCCCGCTAAAAGGGAAAGACCCCGGGGCCGCGAGAGGCCTCTGGCTGGGCCCGAGGCACGAGCCCGCGGCCTTTCCTTCCGCCTTTCGCCGTCGTCACTCTCCTCCCTGCCCGGTGAATATCTGCTGAAGGGGCTGCCAGCCAGGTCGTGCTGGGAAGGGTAAGCTGAGGCAGCCGAGTTGGGTCAGCCGACCGTGTGCAGCCGCTCCACGGGGTCGGGAGCAGGCCGAGGGCGAGGCCGGCGCAGCTTCCGGGAGGGGCGAGCCGCTTCCTCCGCTCGCTGCCGCCTGCAGGGAGTTCCCGCGCCCGCCGCGAACCTGCCCTCCCGACCTCCCGGGCTTCCTCCACTTGAAGGGCCCTCGTGGCTCCCCTGGCCCGAGTCCACCCGGCCTCCCCGGAGCTGGACAGGTCTAGAAAGAGCAGCGCAGTCTTTGCTAAGCACAGCCTTGCAATGGCGCAAGGGCCTATTTAGGGAAAGGGGTTGGAAACCAGCAGGCTGCGGCGGCCGGACACGTTACCTGGCGGCCGACAGCATTAGTTTATGTATATATGCGTGTATGTATGTACGTATTCTCCAAGGCAAAGACCCGACATGGCCCTGCCGATTCGCGTTTAAACCTCGGGTAAACTGACTGGCTGACATCTGAATACACTAGAACTTCACCTCCTCAATTTGTTAGAGGTCTTGGAATGTCGCCACTGAGACGGAGGAAGTTGGGAGCTACCTGAACTGCCATCTCTCCCTCATCTTGGCCTCGGGATGCGTGCGGGGCTCCATCCAGTCTCGCCTGGCGGTGCTCGCGGGGGCGCCTGCTGGAGGACTCTACTCCCCCTCGCCACCACAGGAGGCGCTGTGTTCGCGGGAACTCCCAGGCTGGATACAGGCTCTGAAGCTGGCAGAGTCCACTCGGCAGCACCGGACTTGGGCTTCGAAGAAGCCTGGGCGAAACATCACTTTTACCATCATCACTCGATGAACAGTGAACTTTCTTTTTTCTTAAGTCGACCTTTTTTTTTTTTTTTTTTTTGAAGATGAGGCCTAGTGGGTTTGGGAAGTGGACTAAAAGAAGGATATTTGATATTTTAATTAACTCCCTTTAAAGTGACAGCATTTTTTTCCCTCAAAGCACCAGCTTCTCGTGCACTATAAAAGCTATTACTAAGTTATTACTATCCATAGAAAATACCCTAGTCACTCTTGAGGTTGTTGAAGAGCCAAGAAGGGGCTGGAGAATCACTGCAGGAAGGAACAAGGAAGCACATTAGCACTGGAAGTCCCCCGGATCAGGCCGAGGAGGCTAAGCATCCGTGTACTTTACAAATGGAACTGAGGTCCTGCTGCTGATGGGAACTTTGCACAAAAGAATTAGTTTCTGACACACACTTGCAGATACATTTACACAAACTGATGGGAACGACTTGCAGTCACAGGAGCAGGCTGCGCTGGGGAAGGTTCCTGTTCTGAGTTCCAAGTGGATTTAATTTCACTCATTCCTTTTCTGACAATGTGACATTACCCTCCCTTTTTTTGTTTTTTGTTTTTTTAAAAAAAGGAAAAAGGAATTGTAATCCAATGCTTTTATCTTTTTTATTTCCTTAACTGCACATCTTCACCCTCTCTGCTCCCCTGCTGATTTAAGAGATTTATTTGGTTCAAGGGTTTAACGTGATTCTCTTGCCAGATTTCAAGAAAGAAAGATTTAAAAGAACAAAGCACAGGAGAGAGGGGGGAATAGGTATCTGTTTGGAAGACAAGTTAAAACACATTTCTTAAATGAGATTAATCACATTTTTAAAACAGCAAAACAAGAATATTTTGCGGATTCTAGTCACTTTAGAAAGATTTTATTTTATTGCTACTTACAAAAACTAGTGGTTCTACAGGAGGTACCAATACACACGGTCACATACACAGTCACATTCACTCAGAAATGTACTCAGTCACACATGCTCAGAGACACCCACACAGTCACAAACTCAGGAACACGCATGCACCATCTCCCCAACCTATCACCAACTTCGTGCCTACCACCAGTCACTGTAGTTGGTCTCTCTTCCCAGGATGTGTGGGCAACCATTAGTCGGGGCCTCCTGGGAGTCAAGAGGCTTTGGGGGTTAGGAAGGGATTTCCCACTAACGTCCAGGACTGATTACCTAGCCCAGACCCTCCAAGTCAGAGACCTGGACAGACACCTCCGTTGGCCGCCTCTGGCTTAGGCCTGGCAACTCTTTAACAGTGCAGATGCGTTCCCACGCCCGGGCCCTTGCTTTCCCAGCTAACGCTCGTGTTTAGGGAGGTGTCCCCTCCCCCTGACCTTTCCCTATCAGAAACCAGACGGTCGCCTCCAGCTCAATCCCCGAGGCTGCTGAAGGGGGGCGGGAGGAGGAGCTCCGCAGAGGGAGGACGGCCCGACTTGGGTCCGCCTGCCCTATCACACAGACATCTGCTCTCAGTTTCTTCCTCTTTATGATCGCTACAGATGACAAGGGGAGTGGAGCGGACCGAGGCGGAAAAAAAAAAAAAAAAAAATGTCATAAAGATATAAAACGGTGCTGTGACTCACCTGCTCTTAGCCGCAGGTACGAGTTTCATGGCAGCGCCTCCGCTCTGCTAGCCAGGAGCCCAGGTCGGCCTAACGTCACTCGGCTCGGCTGACTCAGATGACCTGGTTTACAGTGACGAGGCAAAAGCGGGGCTTTTCCCCTTTTCTAGCCTGACGCCCAGGAGGGAAAGGGAAGAAAGAAAGAAAGAAAAAAAGTCTGTATTGTCCAGTGTCCCGAGGTTGAACTTTGGGCCGGGAATCAGGAGGGTGGGGACAGGAGCGGGCAGTCCAGGTCCGGAGGGAGGTGTGGTGTGCCTCTAGGGAGGGACCCCGGGGTCATTTAGCCTGCACCGTCCCTGAGCCCTGGCTCCGACGCCACTGCCCCTGCCCTTCTCCTGCACAGTTCCCATGCAGAGCCTTGGCCTGCACGCCCAGCCCCGCCTATTTTTCTTTTCCCGTACCAAAGGGGGTTACGCCCCCCATCCGATTTCCCTCTTTCCCTAGTCTCCGGGCTTAAACCAATTACACTGCTCTGCAAACAAAGTGAGGGCCGGGTTTGGAGGAGGGGGCTCGACGGGAGGGGGTCGGGGGGGCGCGCGGCGGCGGCGGCGGCGCCGCGGGG